TGGTTTGTAATTTAAACAAATCCATAAAGGAGCCTTAAAAAAGATACATAAATAAAAATTCTATTATTCATATAAAATTTTTGTGTTATAGAGATATAAATATATCAAAAAACTTTTCTTTTTGATAATTTTGAATTTTTTTTAATGCAATAATACATGGACAACCAAATTAACATACACTGTTTTTTGAGCAATTTTCTTTTGTAGTAAGCGTTACTCAATTAGTCTGTTTCAAGACAATTAAGATAAAAATAATTCCAAAATACTTCCAGTTAGCTTGTTCTTTTTAAATTGCTATGTGTGTTATGTGTCTTAAAACAACAATAATTTTGTTAGTGTTGGCTTGTAAAATAAAATATTACGAAATTGAATAGCCCATTTTCTTCGAGTGTTTCAGTGCTGTTTGAGTATGTTTATCTTGGACTGTGGCTCCTGTGCTGCGGATAGGCCTTTTACCATATGAAAGAACAACAAAAATGCGGGCTGCCGCACAAAACTTTTGTGTAAAAATAAAACATTGCAGTGCGCTTTTGTTGGTTCGCAGCACGGAGCTGGGCCTTTAAAGCATTCATTCAAGTATCTGGCAATGGGAAAACATTTAATTTTAAGCGAAAACAATGCCGGCAAACGTTTGAGATCTCTCCACGCGAACTTACGGCCAATGGGCAACATTAAAAACTTCCGTTTCCGCTGGCAAACAAGCACAAAAGAAATGCAACGGAAATGCCACAAAGTTCAAACAAGAAAACCGACGCACAGGCAAGCAAACAAGCAGGAAAACCGCCAGGCAAACACTAACAGCATTAAGGATGAAACTAAGGTCCTGCCCGGACTTTTTCTTCATTTTCTCCCAACTCCTTCTCCAGCTGCACACTCATTACCAAAATTGCAATAAATTTTTGTGCACTGAAATTATTTGAAGTGCTCGCTGCCATACACACATAAAAACGTCCATTTTGAAATTTACGAGAGTGTCCAAAAAGAATGTGCTAAACTTTTATACGCGACCAGGAGACAGGAAAACGTAACTCCTAGTTGTAGTGTCAAGTGTTTTTGGGCGGTCGGTTGTGCAGAGAATCCCCCAAAAAGAAACCACGAAAAGGAAAACGTTTTAATTGCTTTTTGTTTTGGGGGGAAACTCGAAACTGCTTTTGAGGGTTGAGTCTATACAGAACCAAAGCCAACTGTCGTGATCGATGAGTTATGGGTTTTTAGGGAAAATTGAAATATCGGCCGGCAATTGAAAAACTACAAAGACACAGTTCCTTGAAGTAAATGGGTATATTTAGAAGGCGTTATGGATGTTTGCCTTTAAATGGCCTTACAAATTATGTTTAAGAATTTAGTACAATAAGTTTTCTCTACGGCTGAAGTCTTGACAAATAATAAATACAAAACATAAAATTTGGTCAAAATAGTAAGCCCATTAAATTTCTTATTTTGAACAAAAATTGGAACAAAATTGTAAATTGGGCATAAAGCTCAAAATCTTTACGGCTTAAATGATTTCCAAATACACAAAATCTTAAAGCATATTTATATCCAATTTGTAACTGTGGAATATTAAAATGTGGGCCTACAAACAAAATTAAACAAAATTAAAAATTAAAACAGAACTTTCTGTTAATTGCACTTCCTACTGGCGGAATACAAAGGAAGAGTCTTACACATGAGTACACCAACCGTCAATGGATCTCTTACCACTTTAAAACTCTTTATATCCCAGTACCATTGACTTTATTCACATTTTACACTTTTTTGTTGTGCTCGCAATGATTTATTAATGATGCTTATTATTATTGCTTAATTGCGGATATTTGCATTTCCACAAACGGACACCGAGGGACACCCTTCTGTGTGTTACAACTGCGGATTTAATTGGTGCCAAGCGAAAACATTCAACCAGGTTTCTGGCTGCGATTACTGAAACGATTTCAGAGCCGCCCGCTGATTACATTCAATAATGAAATTTAAATAAATTTGCATTTAATGACATCCCACACATGCAGGTCCACCTAGACGCATATTTAATATGCGGTAGGCTTTTGTGCGCTCAGCTTGAAATTATTTCGGTCTTTTTGTAGACTCCCACGATTTGGGCTTTCAGCGTGATATAAAATTTTAATTAATTCGATTCAGTTGCGGATTTTTCACTAACATAATGCAGCTGATAGCTTATCAGCAGCTAAAAAAAAAGCTTGACGGTATTAAACATATCCTAACAAACTCAATAAAATTAATATTTTATTTTCCTGGGTCTAAAATTATTTTTTTTTTTATTATCAATGTTTTCTAAATTATCGGCAAACATTTAATTGGTACATATTTAAGTTTAAAGTGCCAGCCTCAAATATTTATTGTTAATGAGCCTAACGACATTGAATACACTCCCCTTTTTAAAGATCCGTATATTAATTTTTCAGCTGAAATCATATCTGCTGTCATTTTGAATGGCTTATTGCCATCGATTTTTAATTGATTTTCCGTTAAAGAACATTTAATTAGCGCATTCAAATGAGGTGGACTTAAACCGCCAAGCTTCCGACAGAGATGATTTTCCTCTTTCATTTGCATAGGCTGGTAAATACCATGATCAGATGTGTATGTGTGGATCAAGTGGGAAACGTATTCAGTTTTCACTGAAATAATAATGAGAGCGGTTAAATTTAGCTTTAAATTTAAGATTTTTAAAATGCATTTCCTGGGAATTTGTAGTTCTGAGTACAGGGGAGGATAACTGGACAGTTAGTCGTTAATCAACGCACTCAGACCTCCAAAGAGTCGAGCAGACTTTATGTGCATTGTCTCGCTTGATTATACGTCGCACCCCCCATCCAGAGAATGCGCAGTGAATCTGATTCTTATGCAGGTTTTTTACGCGTCCGCGACATGCAGACACATAAATTTAACAGGCCAGAACTCATCCCCACAGCTCCATCCAACACCTCCAGCCAGTGCACTGCGAACAATGCCTGATTGTTGGTGAAAAAAAAATATTTATATGGTAATTTGCGTCTCAATATGCGACCTTAAAGGTGGCCACAGTTGGCCCCCACTTGAACGGACAGACAATGGGCGCTAGGGCAAAAAACAAATGAAGAGCATAAAAGTAAATGCGAATCCGAAAACGAAAACGAAAATGGAGCGTGTTAACCAACCCCAATAATTTAAGCAGAATTTATGGCATTAAGCGTAGCGAGCGAGAGATACGCATAATAGTAGAGGAGGACCTTGGTCAATGGCCCGTTCGTGGGCCAGGCAAATGTTTTCGGTCCTCTGTCGCCCCGCCTTGTTATTCTTTTCCGAACACCCCGTCTAATCCTTACAGGACACACGCACACGCACAAAGGCGGCGGCCCGAGATGCTCCCCCCATAAATCAAATGCCAACACACTGTGTGCGCTTGTGTGGTTGGGTGTTAATTAGTATTTAATCTATGAACCATAAATAAATCCCTTCTGCAAGGACACTCAATTTCCGTTTGCTTGAGCACAGAAGTGAGACACTCGAGGGGGGCGGAGAGAATTGCCCTTTGTGCTGCTTAATAAATTGCCAATTCTATGTCAAAGAAGTTAAGTCAACTAATTGCACAGTTTACTTTTTTGTATGAGATGTTGAAGTGGTAATAGGGGGAAAAAAAAGCTTTAAATGCAACGAAAAAATGTATTTTTAGAAAGTAAATATTATTATAAAAAAGAAGACAAGCAGAAGGAAAATAAATTGTTAAAATTCATTTTTTTTTTAAGTTTAGTTTTCTTAAGTATTTCTATTTTACAGAGCGTTTGAAAGTCTCTTAAGACTTTTATTGATCTTTTTCTTCCAGTATTTCCACAGTCACAATTGTTGATGTCAAGTGCGTGTCTGTGTCAGAGGAAAAGTGTCAATAAACCAGTTTAATTGATTGTGCGCTAAGCTGTTGCCAAACACTGCCAGCTTGATCCGCCTTCTCATCCAACGCACTCAACGTACACTACGGGCCATAAAAGTATTTTCATTTGGCGGTGGCGTCATCTGTTGACAGCGGGCGTTAGCTGTTGAACTAATGCTTGACATTTGCATTGCAAATTGCGCATTTTGAAAAGCGCGACAATTACAGCTCACCCTGAGACTTTCCACCATATCCCACTCTGTCTTTAAAAGCAATTAGCGATTAGCAGGCGAAACTTTTCAGCTTTTCCTCGGGAAAGCGCAGAGGGGTGAAATGTGCGTATGTTGTCAACTCTAAATTAGTTTGATTTGCATTCAGTTCATTTAATTCCCACGCTCGATTTTTTTGTATCTTCTGTCTTGCTTTGCTCTCGTTTTCACTCCCTCTCTTTGATTTTTTTCCAATTTGCATTCACAATTGCTCATTGATTTTCGCATTTGGATTTTCTCATGGCTTTTAAATGCATTTGGCAATTTCCTGACTTGCCATTTTAATTGTGTATGCATTAAAATCAACGCAATGATGCATTTTTAATACAAATTAAAAATCGCTCGCAGCACTGAGGATTTTATGCAAAAATATCCTACGGCAATGGAGTGAAGAAGGAGAGTCACAGAAGGAGAATTTTGCGGATGGGCTTGAGCTAAAATCGGGTTTTTTGCTGGCTTGGTTTTGGTTTTGTGGTGGAGCGTAAAAGATTCTGGGTCGCGACAATTTAATTTGCTGATTCAAAAGTCAATTAATTTGAGAGGAATATATAATCAGATGATGGCAGGAAATGGGTGTGAGCAGTAGGAAAAGGAAAAAGATAACGAATACAAATGGAAATAAGGAAAAGCCTGAAATTAAAAAAGGAACTATATTCCTTCGAGTTCAGAAGCTAAGAATATTTAATTTAGTAATTTTCAGCATTTATATTAAAAATACATTTATGAAAAATGGGCTAGCCTAACCTTCAAATACAGAAATCATTTTAAAGCATATTTCAACCAAAGTCCATACAATTTTGGTTTTGAAATTCAAATACTATAATACAATTAGGTTTTTTTTGTCAAAATGTGAATGTTACTCAACACCATAAACAAACAAAACACCAAGAAACACAAACAAATAAAAATATAAATACATAAAAACTACATAAATAATATTTAAAAAACTTAAAATGTCTTCACCTACCAAAATAGTGGACAAAAAAGAAGAAAACATAACACGAATTAGTTTGGAAACACTGAACCAAGAACTTTTAATATATCAACATCCGGAAGCGAATGAGTCCTTCCTTGAGAATCATTCAACAGTCAAAGATGTGGTCGAATGCCTAGAAACGATTGAAAACGCCAATAAGACGGAGTGAGTAGCCTGGAAATTTGTGAAAAATATCCGCTGAAGAGAACGTATTTCCCAGCTCGTCGAAGGACCGGAGAAAGACTGCGGTTGATATGGCCGACATGGATTTTGTGGTTACAAAGCGAATTCAACGGAACAGCGCGTCTATTCGTCGAAACAAAACAAGGAAGGTGCCGTCCAATACGAATCAGTTTACATTCATGCGCCAGGTGGATCCGGATCCCGATGACCGCATCTTGGCCAGAAAACAACGAGAAGATGTGGCAGAGACTTTTCGACGCATGGGAAATTTCGAGTATCGCAAGCTTAACTTTGGTTTGGCCAAAGATTACTACACCAAGGGTTTGGAATATATTAAGGATACACCTGTCCTGTATGTGAATCGGGCAATGTGTTATACCAAGTGAGCTCTTCACGAGGTGTTATTTCAAGTGATTTGATTTTGTTAAATTATTGTACTTTGCAGGTTGCGCGAATACAAGCTAAGTATTATGGATTGTGACTATGTTATAGCAAAAATAGATGAGAACTATCTGCGTGCTTGGCTTTATCGGGCAGTGGCCTATAAACGTCTGAACGATGAGGCTAATTACGAATATAGTGTTGATCAGGCAAGGAGATTAAACAGATCCGAGGCGGCATTCATCGATGATTTTGTGGACAAGATGCGTTCGCTTCTCTAAGATAACGAAAGCAAATTAAATTAACAATAACCAAAATCTAAAATAAATATTTAAATATATTCTGCTTAAAAAAAATTGTTAAGAAATATGTGTAACCAAAATCAAGACAATTAACGTTGAATATAAAGAAAAGAAAATGCTTTAATTCAAACGAGAAAGTTCAATAATAACTCCCAATCCCCATCTCATTTTCAAGCCAATTAAGGTGAAAATCATTTAGTATTTTCCGACCCGACTTCAGCTCTCTTCCTGGATTACCTCATTTCCGCTTCGAACACCTTTGAGTTGGCTGTTTCCACAACATTCAGCTGATCAGCTGATTTTTCTGCCTTTCGCTCTCTTATTTTCTAATTAACTGGCAGCTCATAAAAGAAAAACTCCAACAAATTGATAAAGGATGAAAAGCAGCCAAGAAAATCCATGGAAAAAATAAATTGAAAAAATAAACTTTTGTCTAACTTTCTCTCTTAACTTTCGGCTTGCTCAAGGTGAGCTAGAGATGGAGACAATTATTTTGTGCTTCATTTTTTCTGCCATTCATATTGCCCCGAGGTTTTCCATAAAATGCACTTCAGATGTCCGAAAGCAATTTTGTAAGGTCTGATAATTTCATCTGACTGGCTGGAGCTCGTTTGGAGCCTTCTGCAGCCCATTAAGGCGAATGTCAACCGGCAGAAGTTGACCCAAATATTACTCAGCACATTTGTAGGCAACAATTTGCGACTTGAACTGCGACTGGGGCCAATGTTCAAGTGGAAGCTGGTACTGGATACTGCCTGTCTTTTCCCTCTCAGTCAATTTGATTTTTTAATTAAATTTATTATGGCAAAGAGCATAAAATTTTATGTGGTTAGTCCATTTCTGGGTCACATTGCTAATGACTCTTTGGGTCGGAGTCGGATTTCGAGATGCAAGCTGCAGCCTGGTACAGGACGTTTAGCCCGAATCCTCCCGCCCACTTCTCCTCACAGTAATCTGCTACTAATGCCCTTTGGTTTCTGCTCTCTCTGAATGCTTGCTCTTATTTCTGTGTGTGTGTCCGGATGCTTGTTTATTTAATTATTTTTTATGAGAATTGTATTTACCATTCGGCTGCCTCTTAGATTTATTGAATTTCTTTGCACACATAAAAGCTGCAATATGTTTTAACAAGAAATATGAAAATCCGCAAGTGGGATTTTATATGTCTGGCTTTTTCCAAAGCCAAACCTCAAGTTTAAGGTAAGCAATATTTTAATTATAAATATTAGTTAACTTTAAAGGAATTTATTTTGTATTTCGGTTTGATAAATTTTGAAAAATATTATGGATTGAGATTAAAAAGAAGGTTTGAACATATGTTTTTGTATTTTAAATAAAATAATCAAGAATGCTTCCAATCGGATCGCTTCATCCATTTATTTTGCCTACAGGCATTTTTTATCTCAGCGTGCCGAATGAAAAAATTAAAAAAGTGTGTTTATTTAGTCGAATGCTTATTCACTTTTCGTCACAAAATTTGATATCAGATATTTTGTGCAATAACATATGTTAAAGGTGCGATCTTCACGACCTGTTTGATCATATGTAAAATACGTCACAAAATGCAAGTGTTTTACCCACATATACATATATAAAGATTATTAGTTTTAATTTCGCTGACCCTGAAGGATGTTGCCTGTAGTTCGGCTGAAAAGTTGCCGAAAATAATTTCTAAATAATATACTAAATTTAATTGATGGCAGGGGAGAAAGCCATAGGGAACAGCTAAAGCTAAACGTTATTTCCTTGGTCGTATCTTTAAAATGAAATATATACGCTTGAATGGACCACGTAACATTTACGAGTCTGTGGTGGCTGGACGACACACAAGACGTATACGCAACACGCAAGCAGCAGAGCGAACACATTGCGTATACGCATCATGCAGGCTCCATAAACATTCGGAAATAAAATGCGCTTAATTGTAGCAAACTGACAAAAAAAAAACCGAGAGAGAAACAAAAAAAAACGAATATGTATAAAATAAAACGAGAGACAGGCTAAACAAAGTGGAAAGTTCTGGGACCAAAAGGTAATTAAAGCTGCCAGTGAAAGTTTCAACAGTCCTACATTGTTAGTGCAATCGCTCGGAATAATTTATTAATTAACTACAATTCGAATGAATGAATGAACGATTACCGGCAGTAGAATGGGCCAAAGTTGGACTTCCTAGGAGCCAGAAGCGACAATTTCGATTCTCCAGCGCACGTAACAGGAAAATCAATTAAGAGCGCTTTATGTGCGCGACAGTCTTCGTTTTCGTTTGCGCCTTGACTGTCGCCTTCGATTCGACTCGATTCGATTCGATACGGTTCGCTTGGGTCTCCCAGTTCTGGGACAAGTTTAGCGCCTGCCAAGTGGAACTTTGTTAGTTTCTAATTAATTGTTACAGTTACAGACGAACACTGAAATTGACTGCAGCAGCTGCTTAAGCGACCTCTCTGTGCTCCTGCCAATTTTAGCATCCCCGGTTATTTATGTCGGATACTCGGCATTATTTATGTTGCATATTGGGCGCATTGTAGTAAATTAACCAAAAGGCAGACAGGAGTTTTTCCCCTCCTTCAACGGGGACACAGCTGGCATTTTTCTTCTTTCCCGTTTATTGAAAATGTCACAATAACTTTACAGTTATGACAATTTTATGGCTTAGATTTGCGCTTGAATGTGAATTCCCTTTCGATTTTGGTAGGTAATCAGTTTTTCAAAGGTAATTGCATTTTTGACTTGGCTAATAAAAGTTTAAGCATAAAATATGTATTGATTTATTGATGTATTGAAGAAGAGAGTAATAAAGTGTTTTGTTAAATTTATTTACTTGTATCCTATCTTATTTTTTTTCCTATACAACTTAACTTTTATCAACTTTGACTAAATTAATTAAGCCCATATTATTAATTGTTTTTTTTCAGTTTAAAAGTAATTTCTAAGGTCTATTTATAAACAAGCTCATATTTTCTGTTGACTCTCCAAACTAATTCCCTTAATGTAATTTTGTATATGTTGTTCCGGATAATCTTCAAAAGCAAGGCAAATACATTAAAATAATCTTTCTTCACATTAATGGAAGCCTAACCCTCGGATTTAATCTTTAATCTTTCATTCGCTTTTCTGGCACTCCATTTTCGCCCCAATCGATATTCAATCATGGGCCGTCTCCGTACCCGGTATAACATTTTCGATAATTACCCGTAAAATGTCGAGCTAACAACAATTGCCAACGCTTTCACATCCCAGCCAGCATACACACATATGGACTAGGCATCCTCCCAAAGCCAATTGAATGGAATCCCCATCTTCATATCCGTTTTGATGGCCATAACCAGGAAGCCTCTTCTTTCAGCCCCCAATCCATTGTCGATGGTGTTCAATACTATCAATACTCAGCTAGGCGCCAAAGTCAAGTCATGAACTAGAAAAAAAGCGGCAAAGAAATAAACGTCAACGGAAACGGAAAAGGCTTAACAGCTGCGCTCACCCGGACACTGAGTAAAGATGATGATGGGGAAGGAAGGGAGCTGGACACTCTCAAAATCCGTAAGCGCATAATCATGAAAATTGTCAGTACATAATGCCTCAAAAGGGCCGATAGCAAAGCCGAAAAGGCGGAAAAGGTTTTTACTTGCATCTTTACTCACTTTACACGCTTGACTTTGTGGATGGCCTCGATTGGTGACTTCGATGTGGCACAGTGTCCCAATGTCACTTAAAAAATTCCCCAATCTCTTGGGTTTTGAAATGATCAATAAGGGTGTCTAATATAAATATAAATTGAAAAATATGTCAATGGCGCTTTTTAAATGAAAGATTTATCGATCTTACAAAATGATATTAGGTTCAACATAGCAGATATCAACTAACATTTGATATTTATTTAATAATATCAATTACTATAAAATACTTGTGTAAATTAAAAAAATCATCGTACCACGGTGCTTGTGACTCTTCTCCCCCTGCAAAATTTGTAGAGCGGAAAGTAATTTTCTTGCGCTTTTTATTCGCTCTCTTTTTTTATGGGTCGATTCTGGCATCTCTGACCTGTCCTCTTCGGTCCACTCCTCTCTGGTGTCCACTCAGTGCACCCCTCTCTCCTTCCTGGGGCTCCTGTATCCTTTGCTGTCCTCGTATTAGCTTTTCATCCTTTGCAGAAAAGCAGCAAAAGCAACTAAAAGTAAAATAAAGAAAGAACGTGAATGTGGTCAAGGTTTCCCGACTATATGTTACCCACTACGCAAGGTCGTACTTAATAATATTTACACACCTATATGGTAACTTTCTAAGTAATGTTCCTATTATAATATTTTTGATTTATTGAAAAATGTCGTCGAATCAAACCAATTTATTTATGTAGCATCTTGCACTACCAGTTCCTTAGTTTTTTAAGATATTTAGTTTCCTAAAATACCATATACCCTTCGCATTATGGTTAAAAAAGTTAAGTTTACTTTCACATGCCGGCCGTACTTTGATTTTGTTGTCTGCCCTTTTTATTTTCGCTTCAGTTTCGTTTGTTGTTGCTATCGATGGGTGGATTCTTCAGCTTTGTCTGCTGGCGTTGGCAAAAATCAACTTTTGCACGTTTCGATTGTGTAAAGTTTTTATGGCTTTTTGATTTTTTTCACTTATTGCCTACGCCGCTCCAGGCGAGTGTGAATGGAGATGTGAACGTGGATGGGTTTTTGGGCGTGACTGGGGCCAGCACCCCGCTGTCATCATCAATAAGGTGCCTCATTGAAGGCACTTAAATAATTACAAAATAATGGATGCCAATGGCAAAATGTCGAGGACACTTTTTAGCCACTTCGATGTCGTAGACGAGGCTGGAGAAATCGTGGAGTCAGTCCTTAATGCAAATCGTGCCCAAGTGACACCGACTCGGTTTGAAAACTCTTTCACATCAAGTCAAAGGGATATAGTCGTCCTCTGGAGGAAAAGCGAGCGAGGTATGCAAATATTTGGTAAAGCGAAAATCTGTAAAAGTGCTGGGGGAAGGCCTCTGTTTGTTGTCACTTTGATTTGTTTGCCTCATTGTAAATATTTAATGGAGCTGAAAGAAGTGTAACGGAGTGCAGAGCTCACAAGAGGTGTGATGGGGTTATTCGACTCAAGTTTTATTTTTCTCAAGCACTCTCATTTTCTGCTTGGTAAAAGCGCAACAAAATATAGTGTGTACTTTATACATCAAACTTATTTGTTTCAAAATCAAGTAGACTTACTTTGCCCATATTTCATCGAACTATTTCATTAAATTTTCCTATATTAAATGTCTTAAATATCGTATTCGTTGATAAAGTTTAGTAAGCATTCTCTATTTATGTATTTTAGATTCAAAATATTTATTTAAAAGTTCAATTGTTACAATCCCATTTCAGTTCCCCTGAGGTGCCCAATTCACACAAAAGTTTTAATGAACACAAATAACATTTATTGATAACGAACTTACAGAAGTGCAGTCCTCCACACCAGTTCACTCTAGCAAAAATTGAAATTGCTTAAAATATTAAAAATTTATTGCCCACTTCAACTCCTTTTTGCTGTTTTCTGTTTATTTTTTTTTTGGTTGCGTTTTTTAAGGCGTAATAAATAAAATTAAATTATATGCAAAATGTATAAAAACCATGAGCAATAAAAAAATAAACACGATAGAAGGCATTTTACACATGCAAACAAAAAGAGCGCAGTAAAAAACTCCACAACACAAGATAAATAATTAAATTGTGCATCGAAATGCGATTGAATTGTTTTTTTTTCTTCTTCCTTCGGTGTTCTACAATATTCCCAATGCTGGACAGTAAATATTTTAAATGTTGGCATTTTGTATGTAATTTTTTTTGTATATTATCTTACTTTGTCCGCAGTGTTTTTCATTTGTAGCGTATCATTTATATTTCAATTTTAATTTATATTCATTTGAATATTTGCTCTGGGCACATTTGTTGCCTATTTTTTTGGGCGCTTTAACGGAAAATGCTCATAAGTTAATAGAGGACTTGGTAAAGATGTAAGGGAACGGGAAAAATGTTGTATATTCAATTGCCCTTAACAACGAACTTCAACTGAAACTACGTTTTGTTTGTTTATTACTCTGCAATGGAAACCCGATTGCTAATTGAACATTTCATTGTATACTTTAAAACTTTTCCGCAAGTGGGTCAATTCTGTTTACCTTTGAAAAAAGGTAAGAGTGTACTTGTGACAGACAGCGCAACAGTTTGATTTTTGTAACTGAAAAGAATAACAAGGATTAATATTTGACAGCTTAAAAAGCTGAAGGCAATAAAAATTTATTAAATGTCACTTTGAAATTAAGTTCAATTAATCATGTAGTTTTAGGAAATTAAAGTTTGCTTTACCACAGCCAACAAACAGGCGTCAACAAGTTCTTTTCGTGCCACTTGTGCTATTTGCCTATGATTACCATGGTTAATTTCCCATCCCAATTCCCTTTGAGCATTTGCGGTTTTCCGGCAAGAGTTCTGCGGCCGCGTTGGGCTTTGATTTGCAAACTGTGGATGCGGGTGCGACCCCTTATATTTTAGCATATTAAATTAAAGCAAATGGTTGTGATGGCGTAGAACAAGCCAGACAGCCCGCCATCTGCTAGCTGAGTGATAAATTTAAGTGCTGGCGTCTAAATAAGTGATGGCTTTACCACCGGCAAGGCGAGGGCTTAGATTTTCGTGGGGCTGAGGGAAAGTACAAAAGCCCGAGCCGCGACTGAGCTGCTGAATAAACAACTTTTGCATTTGCTTTCATGAACTCAAACTGGAAATCGGCTTAGACGACATCTGGCAAACGTCATTCCCATTGTCATTTATGCTCTCTCCACTAAGCATAATCGCTTTGTTCTTGCCTAAACATATTTGATTACGTTTAAGACTATCTTTGAAATTCCTATCTAATTTTATTCGAGTACCATAAAAATACCCATGAATTCCTTTCTAAACTAGAAAATTGTCCTATTATGATGCTAAGATTGTTCTAATGCAACATTGTACTTTATTTGGTATCAAAACCAAAGAAATGGTATTAAATAATTTTTATGCAAAAGGGGCCCCTTGGTTATTAGATCGTTAATAGAAATCAATATCTTTGCTTCGCAACTAACTAAATCATTGGCCCAAAGGGCTATACATTATGTATCAAAGCCTGTGAAGAACTAGGGATAAATTAAGCTTTAACCTGATATTAACTTATGTATAATGAGAAATGGGTAATACAAAGGTCTTAAACTATGCACAATAGGATAAGTAAATCGCTTTGTTCACATTCATCCACAGCCGTAATTATATCTTAACCGAATTTGTTCTATTTTAAATATTTTTTATTTTTATGTATTTGGCTGGCGGCACTTGCATGCACTTATAAATACCACCTCTTTGAGCTTGCAAAAATTCTACTGTTTTTGGATAAACAGCTTTAAATCTCAAATTCAATCTTTTGCTTTCTTCGATTTGGATAAAGACACAACCGAACTGGTTTCGCTGATTTGTCTATTGTGATTATCCCATCCATAATTCCATCTGTGAATCAGACACTAGACAAAAGCGAAAAACAGTCATGAGGACCATAGCCCTGGGCAGTCACACGCGAATCGCCGTTCCATACATCATCATCATCCGCATCTTCGTCGCTCCGACCATTATCCTTTAAAAGCTGGCTTGGACTGGGTTGTGTAAATATTTCATGGCCTGCCCAATGGGTGATAAAGGAGAGAAGACGAGCTATGGAACTAAAGGACACGTCGGCGACAGACGAAGGAATAAAAACCAAAATGCAGAAGACGATGGCATATAAATAATGTAAAAAGTGTGAAATGCGCCTAATGGTGTGCCAAGCCCGGAGTAAGAGCGGAAAGGCTGGCGAAAGCGAAAAGGAGCCCATGAAATGGCGCATAAAATGACAATTGACAGCTGATGATATTTTTGCTTGAATGCGCTGTCTCAACCATCCATGTATTTCATAAATATTTGATCGAACAGCAGGTCCATGTAACATTTTCGTTTCTTGTTGCCAGGTGAAGGCGAGTGAAGTAAAAGCAGCAATTCCAGTAAACAAGCTCAGACTGATTCATTTGGAGAAGCGGACGATCAATACCGAATTCCACAATACACAGGTTGCCGTTTCTTCCACGTTGTCGTTCCGTTAAAAAATACCCACCCATCGATATGACATGCAAAAACTGCCCACCCTACAAGGCCTCGGAACTGGGCGTCTTCTTTCCCGACTGCTTCGAACGCGTCAGCGGGTTTTGCAACAAGAAGAATCCTGGAAATGTCCAGAACCTGCACATCCTGGCCCACCGGGTGATGCCCAAGTTCTTCGACGGCATCGAGCTGGACTACCTGCACCGCCTGGCGCCCAACAAGTACATCACCGCCTCCTGGGTTCTCAGCCACATCAGGGCTTCCGGATTCCGCTTCGGCGGTATCTACACTTTCCGCGTCCAAGACGACACCATGGTGAGTCCGAATTTGCACAACTTCTTCATTGGTAACAACACATCGCATTTAGCTCTTTGATATTAATAAATCATTTTAATATATTTAATATTTTTAGATTCGATTATTTATTTGTATTAACTTTAAGAATGCTAATTAACAGAAAAGATGGGAAGTTTTTCACTATAAAATGCTTCACAAAGAGCTTTTATTTTATTAAATAAAAAAGAACTGTAATTTAGAGTATATTCATTAATTATTTGTCACATTTTAATAATATTTCAGTATACACCAACCATTATGGGCGACATTCATCCCACGACGCTGGCAGCCAACCTGAACATCCTGTACTATCCCATCCAATCTCTACGAATGGAGGCCGTAATGCAGAGGGCCACGGAAACTGCTCCGGTGGAAAGTCAGTACACGATCGAGTGGACGCGGCAATGCGACACTTGGACAGCCAACTTCTACAATGTGCGCAATGAAAATGGCCGCTGCACGCTATCCGTGATGAGATCGGTGACCGCCCACTGGGCTCTCGGCGCGGAGATGCTCCTGGAGTGGAACGAACCACAGAAACTGAACCCGGACCTGGCCTTGGCAGCACGGTGAGCTACTCTTCGATTAGCATGTAAAATTGCTGTTTTTATAGAGATATTTGAACGTTATTAGAGGTAGTAAATTTTGTTCGTCAGACATCTATTTAAAATAGTATTAATGAATAAAAAGGTTATATTAATTAATCATATTATAAATAAAGTTAAGCTGTGAAGTATTTCTTATAAAATTTAAATAATGGTATCTGGAAAGTAAAATTATTATTTTAGTACTTTTTATACAACATAATAATATAATATATTTAAGTAAAAATTCTTGGTACATAGAAATTCAGCAGCTTTGATCTTTCAGGTACTCCCATTATAATTATTCTTTGGCTGCTACCGCCTCGAGACAGGGTCTGGATGTAAGCTATTGGCAGCGGATCCATCCTCAAATTCAGATGGCCAATCTTTTGGCCTGGAATCGTAGCACCCGACAGACCATAGCCACAATATGCTACCAATGGAACTTCTGGAATTCGGCCGTGCATGGAATGTTCGATTCAGATGCCTCTGTGGGCTTCATGTGGAGCAAGTGGGTATGGCAATTTTATTAAGAGACTAATCTTAAGTCATTGTTAATTTCCCCCAGGTATTTAAGGCACTTGCCGCTGCAAATGGGTTTCAGTGTGGTGATGAACCTTCCCACAGATCGATTTGCATTCGGCATGCGTTTTGTTTTGGATCCGAGCGGACTGAGGCGTGGCGAATAATTGTGTGTTGCTATACCATTTTTGTTATATGTAAAGCCAAATTATTTATTGCAAATCTTAGTCGAGGGTTTAGAGAATTACAAATTTGCTGTTTAGAAAACTTATATTTCGTCAAAGATACAACTTGTTCTTCTCTTTATTTTAATTTGTTTTTTGACTTGGTGAAACTTAGATTACAAATATTTTACAGAAACACATTTTGCCACACTATGCACATTAAAAGCCAACACATTCCCACAGCATCGGCGAGTTTTTCCTTTTTGCAGCAAACGAAGTAAACTCGCATGCATTTGATTTATGTGCTGGCAAGTCTAGACACTGTAAATATTTTTTAATGCCAGCACGAAAGACCAGAAATCTCAGCTCAAGAGGGAGCTAAGAAATTTATATGTACTTATGCATGGACATGTACATATCTATAAATCTAAAATAAATACAATTTACACAATAAATTTCCCGTCCACTCTCAGCTGAGTTGGACATAATTTAGCCCGAAAAAAGATAATAGCTCCTAATCCGATATAGAGCTCAGAAATATTCCCAGATGGTTCACTGCCTGACCTATAAACCGAAAAAATGCAAAAAGAACAAAATGGACAAAAAGGAGTAGCCAAGGCCTTGGGCAAAATTTTGAATTGATTTTTGGTTTGGGCTGGGCCAGCAAAACTTTTAAGCCAACTGAATTTTCTTGGACAAACATTGGTTGGCTTTAATTTCCAGGGCTGTGTATGGGTAGTGCTATGGAAAGTTTCTCGCACACATTCAGACATTCACTTATACGAGCAAATATTAATATTTCAATAAATGCTGAGAATCCTTTTCCCAGCCTACACAAAAACCCATTATCAAGGGGGTAAGCCAGTGTAAACTTTTCCCATAAGACCCCAGGCGAGTCTGCTATCCTTTTACACTTTGCCCGCTTATCGACGCCTTTACAAATCATTAGATTTTCATATCCGATGAATTTTACAACGATTTAAACAACAAAAAGAGCCGAGACCAAAACACAAATTTTCTGTCTCCAGTTTTTGCAATTTTTCAGCCTCGATATGTCAATTTGTTGTTTTTCCACGCTCATATGTGGGCAGGAAAAAAGTAGCAGGAGGAAAAGAAAAACATTTCCACGGTTGTGTCGCCCATTTTATATTTATTTAAACTTCTCTCCTAGGCGGCAAATGGAGAAATGTGTAAATGGCGGGTGAAAAAGAACAAAGAAGCCAATGAAAAATAAATTCATTACAAATAAGGTTTCTGAGAATAGAGCACTTTCTCTCTTCCTTTAAAACAGTGGAATATAATGAAATTGATGAACAGATTATATTCGATACGTTGTCTGATTGGGTAAAGGCGTTATTTCTCGTGTAAATTATAATGGCAGGCAGCCACTTAAGAAGCTTTTCAATAAAATCAACATGTAAAGATTTATAAGTCTGCGTTTCAGTATATAAAGTGAAATACCCTGTTTTATATTGACCTCTTTCAATTTAGCACCACTTATATCAATATACAAATTCTAAAACATATGAGTAAGCGAATTTAAATATTGTTTAATATAATAAACACTAAACGGAATGACAGCACAAAAACCAAAACTAAGTCAACAATAATGTAAAACCGACCAACATAAAAAAGCTGCGTAAGCAGATGAAAAAATGGTTACCAATTTCCCTGGGCCAAAAGTTTTTTCGCCTAAATAGCAACCAAAAAATGTAGAAAAGAAAAATAGAAACACAAGCAAAGAAAAGTGAAGGGAAATGCTTGTTTGCTTGCCACACCGACCAACATTTATGTTTATGTTTTGAGTGAGAGTAAAAATACCAAAAAAAAAGAAAACAAGCCAAACACACACACACAAAATATTTTGCTTCTTTTTTGTTTTCCTTGGCGTTCTGGGTTCGCCGAGTGGAAAACATATTTAATTAAAGCTATCCGCATATTAAAAACTTTTTCTCTCCTTCCCTTTGGTGCTTATATTTTACACTCGGCTTGAGTTTTTCCGCTGCATACTTTTCGGCTAGCAAACTTAAGCTTGCCACATTACGAAGCATAAACAAGAGAATTCTGGAAGGGAGACGCTTTAAAAACAAAAGTGCCCCAGGGTGGCAACGGGGGTCACTTCAGTTTTATAAATATTCAAAATTTTAATGAATTTTTGTTTGCTGCCCGTCCGCAAATAGCCTTCCATTTGCCCCCTTGAAAAAACAACCCCTCAACCCGCGAAGCCCCTGCAGCACAATACTCATCCATTTCAATGGGGGTCTGCCAAACATTTAAACAGCTTTAAAATGCGGGTCAACTCGGCCAACCTACAGCTTTTCGCTCTTGATAAGAAGGCCAAAAGTGGAAATTTAAGCAAACAATAGCCAAGGAAAGGTAAGAACCAAGAAATTGGAAAGCGAATGGAGGATCCACAAATGTTAGCCACGCCGAAGACTGAATGGTCTTTACTGGGGTGTGGGAATAGGTTTCAAATTGATTAATGCCATTAGGAAAAGGTCAATGAGTTGGTAACAGAAAGTTATTAATTATGACATCATTTTATTATAATTATCAATAGAATATTTTTTAAATTTAAATTAATTCCATAACAAATTTTTTTAATATCCCTACTTTTTACACCGCGTATACAACGACAACGGAATTCTGAGAACTGGAAACTAGACTTTCCGTCGACCTTTTTAATACAGCAGGAACTGCTAAAATGAAAAGTGCCGCAATACGGTACACTCACACACACATTTCCCGCTTGACCTGTTGGTAATTTCACCTCTCGAGTGAAAGTCATAAAACCGTAATAAAATTGGCCGACTTTTAATTTAATTGCTAGCGCGCACTTTTAACTCTGAACTTTGAGTTTTAATGTTATGTTGTTCTTTAATTCAATTCAATCTCAGGCACCGCAAATGCTGCTTGACTTGGCAACGTATTAAACGGGTCCGCGCATTACCATAATCAGCTCACATGTTGGCGGGCCTTTGGGGCGGGGCGAGGCGGTGCGGCAAGGCCGGCAACAAGTGGGTGGTGGCGAGTTTGTGGCAAGGCCACAAGGCAAGCTGAAAGCCCAGTGAGCAGCTCTCCACAGGGCAAAGAAAATGCGCTTAAACGCATTAAAACCCAGTAAAGCGTTTGACCAGGCCAACATAGTGGCAATGGCTAATGTCCTTCGTAAGTGGCCAAGCTAATGTACTGCTTAGCTCCGACTTTACCCTCATGATATGTGCTTAGGCAAAGAAGGTAAGAAGATGCGTTTCTATCTAGTAAGTGCTTATGGATGATGTTGCCCATCCTGCTTACATTTCTTTCTTTCTAATATTCGTTACAGGAAAGAGTCTAAATTTATAAAAGTTACTTACCTTACGGCACTTCTGTTTGAGTTAAAACTGGATGAAAAAAATACCAAAATCAAATATCTACTCCAGTTTTAACCACGAAAAAAACACTACAATTAATTTTTTATTTTTATTTTGTTTATTTCGTTGTTAACGTCTTACCATTTTAGCACATTAATAAAAAAATGTCAACAGATTTATTTATGTTTTATCTTATGAATACGTTTTAATTTTTGTTTAAAAGCATGCGAATACTTAATAATAAAATATTGACACATTAACTAAGTAAAGGTGAGCCCATTTTAATTTAATCCACTTGATTTAAATATTCATATCGTCTGTAAAAACCTATATTAAAGCCCTTGTTTTCACATCTTGATGATCAATTTTATCCTTAGCTTGAAGCTCCGCCACTTTTTCCATTTCCTTAGCATTTCAAGTGTTGTACCCAAGAGGTCCGTACTTTCACCGCAATTGGCGGCCATTTTTATTGGCTCTATTACCCCGGCGCCTTTGGAACAACAAAACTGACAGAAGAATAGGCAATGGCGGGCAAGGAAGCAGAGGAATCGCCAACGGGGCTGCTGTTCATCTTACAACAGGAAACGGAAATTGTCTATGGGTTCCGCCTGCCTTTGGTTTCCTGCCTATATGTATGTTTAGGTGTGCAAGAGGGAGCTCGCCAAAGTTTTCCCTTTACTAGGTGGACATCGTTTCTTTTCCTTGCTTTGTTTTCCAATACGAGTGATGATGTAGACCAGAGCAACACTTGAGGGAGCTGGAATGGCGGACCCTAAGCGCCTTACAGTTGGACAGTTTAAGTGACGCCTATAAAGGTTGTGGCATCATCTTATTGGTTATGTCTGGAGGGTAAGCATATTTTGTAGAATTGCGTGTTTGCTTGACGCACTCTTCCTTTTCTTTTAACTTCCTTCCGTAAATGTTTTTCGTGCTGTGTTGATAGAGGCATTCCATAAACCATCTGGAAAAAATGTTCACTATTCTTGAGAAACTAAAAATGTATATTCATAAACTATGAATCCAACTTTCAATCATATAAGCAATAGTTTTTAAAGTTTGTTGAACGACATTGACACTAATATGTATCTGCAACAACTTTTCAACAAATACCAAACTGATAACTGCCAAGAAAAAAAGCATTTTATTTAAGCAACCACAGAAATCTGATTGGTGGTAAAAAATAATTAAACTGTCAGAGGTTCTGGCGCTGTCAATTACAAGCAGCGTTTCCCCTGCGATTTTCAGGCGAGAGGCGCAGCATCAGAAAAAAAATGGTTCATATAAACTTGGCGGGGCAAATGCCAACTGCAGTTGAATGCAAATTTTTTCTCATATTTAAATGGAAAATCAAACGGCGCTTCAGCTGTCGAAATTGGTGATGTGAAGGAAGCAGGGGAACAGGATCAGTGGTACATTTGGAGTGCGAGCTAAATAGAATTCAGTGTATAAAAATTGAAATTCAATTAAGTCCATTTGTACCCCTGCCGTATGTGGGTACCTGACAAATACACAAGCCGAAAGCTGCAAAAATTGTGTATACGGCGTATGGGATTGGAAAAAACTACTTGAAGTACCCCGGCAGCTTTTCAATTGCCAAATTAAAATGCTGATAGGAGGATTCGCTTTGGCGTGCGATTGGAGGATCCCAAGATACTGATACGCCCAGTCGACTTTTTGCGCACTTTGCCACTTGTTTATTTACCGCTCCGCCTCGTTGCCGCCCAACAACAACTGGGGGAAACTCGGGCAGCCAGCT